AATGTCATGTCAAATTGTTCTAGATACACACCACAAAACAACAGCCACACACCTTGACTTTTCCTCATGTTTTGACTAACGTTATGGTCAGCTGCAAGCTGGCATATCAGGTGACGTCACGGTTTGACTCCCTGCGTAGTATGGGGCTAGCCCAAAATGATTAAAATTATATAGGTTTTATGGTCCAGGGTCTTTCATCTTCCAAGCTGCCTGCGCGCGGGTTGGTGGTGGGAGAGATCTGGACGTGTAATGTTAATTTTACCTGTGATCCTCTGAATAAACCAGTACGGTTATTTTTTATAAAATCTAAAGCGGTCTGCTTCGTCTTATTGTGAGTTCCTGGTTTAAAAGAGCCGGAAGAGGCTTCGTAGAGAAATAGAAGCTTATACCAGGCATTACCAGGCACACTGTGGAAGAGAGCCAGAATACATTATTAAAAGGAGGAATAGACTGTGACCAGGTGGAGCTGGGGCTGGATTCAGTTCTGTCCAATCAACCCAGCTCCTCTCATCTCCTTTAAAAAGCAGCTGATTGACTGATGTCACTGATGTCAGGACATGGAAATATATGACAATAAAGATTCTTTCCCTGTATCTTCTTCTCCTGCCAGTTATGTTCTCCATTCCTAGACTAACAATGATAAAACTATTTATGTTGAAGTACTGCACATGAATTTCACTCAGCAGTCTCTTAATATCACTGGCCAGTGTTTGTGCATGGGAGAAAAAGTCTGTAGTCCTATAACCAGCAGCAATTCCATCCATCTATACCACTTAGCCTGAAGAGGGTCATGGGGGGTTGGAGCCAATCCCAGCTGACACTAAGAGAGAGATGGGGCACAATCTGGACAGGTCACCAGTAGCAATTATATGGCGTCATTTGCTCACAGCTGCATCCAATTATTTAGTGAACTTAGTCAGAGTCCACAGTTCTCCTCAGTGGCTCTTTGTGAACTCACTGAATCAGCAGTACCGTCTTTGTTCCCCCCTGTGGATTAGCTCCCCTTCTACTGGTCCCAGGGAAGAATCCTTGTTACATTAGTTTTACAGAATCCAGAGCATGCAATAAGGAGGTCCAGTGTGATCTCACACAGCAGACACGATTGCAGGAATCATAAGCTTCAACTAGTTTGGGGAAGTTGCTCTGTACTGGTAACATACATCAAGAAGTACTGTACCATAGCGCAGTGATTTTCTGAGTGCAGTATCTCAGTCACCACATCCATTAAACAATTTGTTTGTGATTTGATTACTGCCAACAGTATTATGCTAGCACAGCACTTCAGTGATAACTAGGAATGTTTTGTAAATTCATGATAGTATTACTTAGAACTTTCCCCACCTCAAGAAAATAAAAAGTGTTTATATATGTATTATAAACACTGGGTGTCTGTCCTCTATCATACTGCACTGCAGTAGTAAGAGCAGCAGTGGTGTACATATTTTGTACTTAAGTGAACGTGCAAAGCACTTGAGAACCTTGGCCTATCTATTTGACTAGCAGAAGGTAATACTACATCTGCACAGAAGCCAAAATCATTCTGTGATTACATTTGACCCCGAGAAGCGTCAGGTAGCTCTCAGCTCTATGCAGATTGCTTTACTTAAAACACAGCCTTTGGCCCCTCTTCACTGTACAGTACTTGACAAGAAAACCATTCCCCTTTGGCAGGCGCTTTTGTTCACACTTTGACTTGCTGTGCAGAATAGTCAAGTGACTAGTGCTTAGTATGCATTGTCACACAACTGAAGGGAAAGTTTAATATAAAGTATAATATAAACAATTTCAAAATAGCTTTTGGTCCTAATGAAATGATTGTTGAAGAGGATTTGAATTCATTCATGTGTAACATGTCAAGTTCACTTTGTTTTATCCTTTTCAAGTTACATTAGTCAGGAAGTTACAGTATGTAAAGTTGTGTAAATCAAATCTTAAATAATACTTATCCCAAATCACACACTTCAGGTTTGATTATGTAACATTCTATACAAAACAAACTAAATATATTAATTCACAGCTGAAATAACTACGTAGTGTGATTTGTCTCACTGAATTATCTTTTTTATCTGGTAGATCTACCAAAAAAAATGTGAAACCCCTTTCAGAAGGAAAGAAGAGCAAGAGCCCTCAGAGAGCACATCTACCACCACCAAGGCACAATAGCCGCTCATGCAAATGGGTCCCTTGTGAAAAATTTGATCCAGAACAACACAAAATGTGTCCTCAAATCCTCAATCCAGATCAGATCCAGATCATCTTTTAGGGTGTGATAGACAGTTATACTATGCATCTTACCTGAACATTGCAGGGTTCTAGCTTCATTACAGGCCACATTATGGCAAGAGATATGCCTTAAATGGGGTTTTCAATGTAAACTTAAAACGGCCATCAGATCCAGATGAGATTTGGTATGGTGACAGATGTTGCCGTCCTGCACGTGTCAAATTTCCTACACGTGAGCTTTTTAGCATTCCTTGGAATTTGGAATGCTGAGAGAGAATATGATATGAGAAAGAGATGGACACAAAGAGAGTTTTGCAAAGGAGGATGAGGCACCATGGGTAGGAAGGAACAAGGATTACATCAAAAGGGAAAATTGCACTGTGTGATGGATAAGGTACAACGTACAAGGTAATGAAAAAGAACGGAGGAAGAAAATAACTGGGGTAGGTTGTGAAACCACCATTTGAAAGGCTCCTCATATCCCGGCAGCATTTGAAAAAACCAATACTAAGCTACTGAGGTGGTTCATAATATGGGAGCTTTTTGTAATTTGCCACTTTGATGGATGCTTAACATCTGGTTATATTTAGGTTACCAAACATCAGTCCAAGTTTAGGTTCGGGTGATGAAACTAAAACTACTTGACAGAGGTTCAGGAAAGACTGTGAACATCAGGTTGGCGGAAAGAATGTTTTGAAACAAAAAAATTGGAGGGTCTAGAGTTAGACAGAAGACAGGTCAGATGTCTGTACCCCGCTCACCATAGAGGATAGAGGTTTGTCGCAAAAATATTGGCTTCAGCGCCCCATGAGCCTCTTCAGGCTAAGTGGTATAGATGAATGGAATTGCTGCTGGTTATAGGACTACAGACTTTCTTTCTACCATGCACAAATGCTGGTCAGTGATATTAGCAGAATGCTGAGTGAATATTTATATACAGTACTTCTACAGTTTTGTCACTGCCAATTTAGGAATGGAGATTTGGAGAGAAAGATACAGGGAAGGAATCTTTATTATTAAAGGCTCTATTCCATTATAAAGCCTCGTCCGGTTCTTTCAAACCAGGAACTCAGAGGGACGACTCAGACCACTTGAGTATATAAAAAATATAACCGTGCTGGTTTATTCAAAGAGGCACAGGCAAGAATTAACACTTCATGTCCAGAGATCTTCCAACCCCAGGCTGCTCAAGCAGCCCGGAAGCAGAAAAGAGACCCCGAACCAAGCATTGCTATACAATATTAATCATTTCTGGGCTGTCGAACCGTGACGTCACCTGATATGCCAGCTTGGCAGCTGAGCAGAGCAGTAGACAAAACATGAAGAAAATAATGTGTGTGGCTGTTGTTTTCGTGGTGTGTATCTAAAACAATTTGACATAACATTACACATTAAGACAAATATTATGGTTACTTTTACCGTCATAATAACATTCGTCCCTGACTGCCGCCTTTCTCTGCTTTAACTAACCTTGCATTTAACAGCCTGAGGAAGACATCCTGGCTGCACTAACATCTTCTAATACAACAGATCTCTAATCAATATCTATCTAACTAAGAAATTACCTAACAATTATCATATATTTCCATGTCCTGACATCAGTCAGTCAGGATTCAGCTCTGAGAGGAGCTGGTTTGAGTGGACAGAACTGAAGCCAGTGTTAGATTTTACGCTTTTTGTCAGAAATTAACCCAATTCTTTTGTTGGAAGCACGAGAAGTGACAACAGGAGAGGACTGTTTAAAATTAACAGAAAGTTTACTGAAAGTTTGATTACAAGAAAGTCTCACAGCGCTGGATTCAGAGAGCCAGAGCTCCCGCAGGAAAACCAACTTCTGAATCTCGAGTCATGTTTTCACATTACATTTATGCATTTTGGGCTAGGTCCGCCCCAAACAAAGATCTCACGAAACCAGGTGTGTATGTGTTGTCATGTGACTTTCCAGGCGGCAGCCAAACAATGGGTCTTCTGCACCGCAGACCCCCCATCTGTGCAATCCCATTACATGACAAAGCAGGACCTCCTGCATGCAAACACTGGACCACAGATGCAAAACATTGTTGAACATGCCTATTTTCACCTTGTGCCTGAAGTTTAGACACAAGTTTAGCAGTGTGCCCTATTGCAGGAAAATGAAGCCCACAGTCAATCTAGGTGAATCACTTTATCAGGTAATTTCACCAAATTGCTCCAATTAAATCTAGCAATCACCAGTGGTTGTGTGTGTGTGTGTGTGTGTGTGTGTGTGTGTGTGTGAGGACCAGTTTGAGTTCTGTACAGTGGGAATGAGGACATTTTGGCCTCTCCTCACGTTCTGACTTACCATCAAAGGGCTCTTTGATTAGGTTTGATTAAGTTAGGGTTAGGCTGAGGAGTTAGGGAATGCATTATGTCACTGAGTGTTCCCACAAAGATTGTTGTAGAAATGTGTGCATGCATACATTTGTATCTGCACTGTCCATGTGGATCTTACACACACACACACACACACACACACACACACACCTGAGCCATATGTATGTGCACACATGGGCACAATCCCCTTTTGGGCAGACTTGGGTTTTGTTCTGTCATTCTTCTCCAGAGAGTCATTTCCCTGCATCCTGTCTTTGCAGAGGGAAGGGTTTCTCTGTGCCGTTGTCTCTGAGGTAAAGGTAATTAGACTTGGCATGAGATGTAGACTCATGGTTTACCTTTTCTTCTCTTCCCTTCCAGGCCTCCCTTCATGTCCCAGAACTGCAACTGTCTGTTCAAATCCAAAAATACCCTTTTAGTTACCTTAGGGAACTTCTGGTACTTTCTTTTACTTTTTCCTTCTCACTTTCTCTTTGACCCCATTTTCATATTACATTAGTTCATAAGAAATTAATAATGTGTCAGCCTATATTTACCTTTCTGGACTTCCAGAGTCTGGTGGATGTTTCCCAGAACTTCCTACAGAAATGAAAACTTCATCATAAACCAAAATGATTATCATACTGGGGTCCAGGTTTAATCCCATTCAAAACACCACTCAGTGTGGTCAAAATTCAAAGTGGCCACAGTCACAGCCAAAGGTAATTCAATAAAGTCTCAAAAATATTGAGGGAGCACAGAGTTTGGCCACAGAACACGAAAGGCTGTCTTTTTTGTGACCTTTCCGTGTTCCCTTTCTGTTTCTACCTGTACACAGAATGTATGTGTGCTACAGACAGAGTGCGTGCAAACAGATATATTGATTTGATATATGAGGACCCAGTTTTCCAACAGACATGATTATAAACACAAGCTATTCATCTGCTTACCTGTCAAAAGAACAATGGAAGGCTGACCACTCATCGACTCACAGCTGCAGTGTTGTGCGTGTCTATATTTGGCATAAAATATGACACTGATTCTCTGTAATGGAAGACAGAGGGAATAAGAGAAAATGTGAGGAGTGTCCAGAGAGGGGGTTTGAGTCATTGAAAAACAGAGGGGAAGGGGTACATGACAGTGCTTGTGTGCTATAATGGCCGGGTTTCATGTGTGGCAAATACTTGGTTGTAATATGATTAAACATTTCATTTAGGAGTGTGGATCATGTGATGACAATAAACTCAATTAAAATAAAACACATTAGAATTAGATTTTCATGTACTGTCCCTCAACAAGACAGCACCACACAATTATATTGTAATAGTTCATAACCTGCCTTTTTGGGATGTTTGGTGCTCATCTACAGTAATCAATAACCTACAGTAACCTTGGGTGGATGCTGGCCCTGTTTGGTTATATAGTAATAGTTTGCTATAGTTTCACAGCAATAGCAAGATTCCAGATAAAAAAAAAAAAGCTTAATTCCCAAAACCAACTGTAAAATGCTTGTTTCAACAGTTTTGTTCCCCTTGGATCACCAGTGTCACAACACCAATCAGGTCCACTTTCTGCATGGTAGCAGAACAGAGGACATCATTAAGGATGTAATGGAGGGTAAACCCACATAAATTTAGCCTTAATCTGCAGACTTCGAACTTTACTCTAATGTTCTTTTGAAACTGTAATTAACTGTCACATTGTTTAACTTAGGTGGAGGTCATGATTTATCCACCTCTGTGGTTACTGGTACATCAGTGTAGAAACCAAGAGACTCTCTCTTCTAATGTTTCTGCAGAGCCTAAATCCCATAGCCCCGAGAAACATCCAACACTCCTCTGTAGCCTGCTTTAAAGGAATTTGTGTTAATTAAGGATCAATGTTGGAAGTGTTTCACAGCAGGGCAAAGCGGTGTCTGAACTGCTGCCCAACAATGGGTCCACTAGAGCATAAACTGGATTACAGACATAGTGTTCAGATAACAGACCATCAGCGGGATATTTGGGTGATGAAGAGTCCTCATCTGCAGACAACTCAACTGCACCGTTCACATGAGACTAATGGGGCTTTACATTCACTAACGGCCAGTCAGAGAGGGGCCTTCTAGGTGATCACAAGGCCTGACTGGGCCAACTTCAGCATTCATGAGACTGGTCATTAAGAAATCCATACAGAGGTCTGGGAGAAGTTTAAAGTGAGGCCTGCTGCTAGGATGTGTCCAGTGTTCATGTCAGAATGGTGGTCATGTGGTCTATCCAAGCAGGCTCTTTTCCAGTCCTTTTACTGTCTTCCATTTTCAAGCATTTCAGACATTGACAAGGTCCAACCTATCCCCTTGAGCCCCTTGAGGAGGTGGGGATCAGTCCTAATGCTCTCATTTTGAAAAAAAAAATCCTAACCCTGATAGTGTAATTCTCAAACTGGGTCTCATCACAAGGATAGAACAGTGCACATCCTAACACAAACATTCAGGTATTATGTGTCTGTCAAAGCTCTAGTAGT